CGCTAACACATGAGAAATTAATTTCACTTTCAACCAATGGATAGTGCCTTGGTGTTGTTCCAAAGACTTTCAATGCAATCTATTGTTTTATATGATGTTGTGCATATGACAATGGACCTAAAAAAGCTTGTCAAGATCAGGATTCTAGGTAGCGTCTTAAATAACTTGTTAGGATTGGGATTCTAGCTAGGTAAAATCATTTTTTCCTCAAATCGTAGAATCTGATCCTCTTGAATTCTACAAAATATTTTTTAATTGATTATTTTTGTAAATTTAGGTGGACTTATTGACATTATTATCAATCCATCGCAATAATACTTCATCACAACCGGATCATGTAAGGTCATTGATGTCAATCATTATGTCGGAACAGGATCCTACCGATCTTAATTGTATGCAACTTTCATGTATAGGATCAGGGTACTTGGAATTTAAGATATATAGTGGAGTTGATATCTTTTGGCTTGGTAGGATTGTAGTACTGTAATTTCTAGGATCCACTTACATGTTTACAAAAACATATGCATATGTTACTAACCATCACAAGTAATGCGAGCACTTGTGCCGAGACTTGAACCACCACGATAAACCTAGGTACACTTGCACTCCATTGGAAAAAATAGTGCCAATGAGTCGTGGAATAAATCTAGGAAAATACGAGCACCGGTGACAAATTGAGGACTTGAACCTATGTGGATTCCACCATAAGGAATCTAACCAACTGAACTACACTTAAATCACGTCTAATCTCAGGGATTTGTAGCTATATACTATGCTCTGTCTTTTCATGTGGATATATGTTTCATTGAAACATTTCATCAAGTCATTTTCATTTGGAAAAATGTCACAGAACGATGCTAAAGCGTCCTTGTTTTTTCCACCAGTAAATTCTAGAAGTAGGACAAATACTACAACACCGGTGTTGACCTAGTAGACGTAAAAAAAACAGATGTATCATCTCTATTGTAGTGTGGCTTGGATCAAAGGGGCACTCTTTTCTCTTTGTATTTTTTTGCGTGGTAATATTGCTTTTGAGTGTTGAAAATGATCATATAAAGTTACAAGTCCTTAAGGTAGATATGGCAATGGAAAATTCCCCGTCGAGGAATTTCTCTCTATCCTTGCCCCACAATAGCTCGCGGGGGAGATTTGGTCCCCATCCCTATCCCCGCATCGACATCACGGAATATAGACGGCATTTCTGATTTAGCACAAATAGCACAAGTGGACACTTGCTGACAAACTACAATGAACACGCATATCCTGTTTAAATCCCCATGGGAGGAGAATTGGATCCATCCTCATCCCCTTAATAACAGAGTTCTCCATGAGGAATATATCAAAGATCGGGGGCCTATTGACATCCCTACCTTAATAAGGTAACTGATCATTCGATTTTTTTGAAGAAATTATTAAATTCTCCAAATGTTACATCAAGATGATATATAAGACTTTGAGAATTATTCTGGCCTTTGCCTAAGACACATAGCCATAAACAAAGAGAGATAATTTCCATAAGGCTAGTGATAATCAAGACGGCGACCTGCGCCAACTGTTGCCACATTGCCCCAACCAACCCTGTAGCACCGGCTTCTGGAGGATAGACCAGTTGTGTAACCAGTGTAAAAGCTAGAAAAGGTAGAGATAAATATATGGTGTTGGAGTGGAGTGGTGTGACATGTATATCGTCTGCGTCTCAGCTTCCAACCCAAGTTTGTTAGCCCCAGTAGTGTACGTACGGCCCATCGCTGATTTGCAATCAATGTAAAAAGGTCCTGTTGAAACACATTGTGTGTGTGGTCTCAACCACGCCGGCCAAGATCCATCCATGAAAACGATAGAGATACGAAAGAACTATTCGACAATAAAAGGCTCCGCAATGGGGACTACTTGTTCTCTGATCGATGAGGTAGCTGGGTGGCATCTATTGCAGTCACGGGCTTCACTTGACTCTCCATCTCCATGCATGCATGATGAACCGAATATATATAATCACACAACCCAGCTGCTGATTTATCCTGCTGATGAAATGTACATATATACATGCAGACAGCTAGTATCAGTTCTAGTAGTAGCAACTACTCCGTTAGTCCGTTAGTGCCAAGCGCGCTCTAGCTACTTTGATCTCCTGCGTTAATTAACTTCTCAAATTAAACTTTTGGGATAGTTTTTGGTGCATGCATGCATGTAACTCTTGGCAGCTATAGCATATAGATAGTTTAGTGGTCACTCAGCAGTGTTCAGAACATTTATTTTGTCCCCAAAGATAAAAAGAAAAGAAGAGGTTCACAATTCAAATGACAGTAGCTAGGAAGAGTACGCAGACGACATGCATCGAGCCCTACATGCTGTTCCCCCCTTTCTGAAATCGCATCAAACGGCGGGTCTTACATGTCTGTCACGAGGCACAAACTTCTTGCGAAGCGTTCGTTTCCCGTGGGCACACATGCATGTAGATGGGACGTGGCAGTAGGATAAAAACGGCCTAACCATCTCATCCCTCCTAAAGCTGTCTTTGGTGGTATATATGTAGGGACCGGCCGGCTTGTGTGTGCAGCAGCTACGCTGGTAGCATTGTAGCAATGTTGTTACTGATCTTTTCTTTTGGCCCATCGAATAAAGGCTTGTAGCAATCACTCATATATGACCATGGTCCATGGCCATTCACCATCACCAGTTGAATGGACATGCCGCCTTGTCGAGTTCCTCTGCAACTTGCTAATACGCCATTCTTCGACGACACTGTCCTGACTGACTCTGAATTTCTGATCGATCCTTCTCTGCGAAAGGTCAGAGTAAATATTTCCATCTTTGTTTGTTCAAATATATATATATATATATATATATATATATATATATATATATATATATATATACCCCAGCTTGTGGTGGTGTGTGTGTGTGTGTGGGGGGGAACATAATCAATTGTTTCGTTTGTTTGTTGGTTTCAGCCAGAGCTTATCAGCCAACCAACATTGTTTTCCTCTCACAACAAACCAGTACCAGCCGGATTTATCAGTCTAGAAACCAACCAGCGAACAAGATGAATAAGTACTCCATTCATTCTAATTACAAGTCATTCCAACTCTATTGAAGAGTCAAAGCATGACCGCGTTGCCGAACCTCCAAGGGTGAGCAACAGTGAAACGGATGAGCGACGAAGTACTTTTTTATTGACTTGGCACCGGCGCAAGTACTTGCCTTGCTCTTGGATTTCTGGGCATTGGCAGAAATTAGCATCACCTCCTGTACTGTGACGAGTGATGCCTCAATCCTCTCTCTCCTCTTTGGCATCACGCTAGCTAGCAACACACTGTGGAGGGCCTAAGTGCTTTAGTTGCTCGTACTGTTCCGGGACACGTAGAGCCCTCTTCCAATTATTATTATTATGAATTCATGCTGTATCATTTCCCTGGCTCAAGGCATCTCCGTCCATAAGTCAATGGAAACATCTGGTCTCGTCTCACCACTTCGTCACTTCGCAGATCAACACTCCTATCCCTCATGCTACGGATACGATGGACGCATACCCATGATTCGTTCATGGTCCATGCATAAATGTCGTCCACGCGAGCTAGCTAGAGTTATCAGTATCAGCTGATGAAATAATATACTACTATGCATGCAGTCGCAGACGTGCAGAGAGACAGTTGCTGGTTTTGGATCTGCTTTACCTGTAGCTCCCTTTTGAGCGCCAAATAAAGTGGCCGTCGAAAGGAATGTCTCAGAAGAGCATCGCGGTGTGCGCCCGGCCCAATTCCACGCACACGCTGCACTGTGTCTGTGTGGCTTCATGCATGCCGTTCTGCTTACCCAATTCAAGCATGCAAGCTAGCGCGTGACGAGGGGATCCGATTGGAATCCAGGAGAGCGAGTTTTCTGAGAAACCCCGGTAGATTTCACTTCATCACTCCGTGCATGCAGCACGCCCTCGCAATTAAAGTCAGCAACAACAAGCACACTGGTGGACACTGTAGCGAGCGAGTAGCGAAAAGATGTGTGCGTATGGCCTTTTGTGCTTCCTTTTCTACGGGTTGTCACCGTTTTGTACATAAACATGTGGAAAAGGCAGCTAATAGTAGTACTATTAATGTAGGTTACGTGACAAGACGAGATGCTTGGCAACAAGGATTACTGTAGTCGTAGCTATCGTGTAGAGACTGAGAGCGGGCACATCAACGAAGAAAACAATGGCCCGATCGGAATCAATCTAGCGCGGCGCCGTGTGTGTGTGTATGTATCTTGTATTTCATCATCGGAAAGCGCCGGCCCCCGGCAAGATAGAAGACACGCGCGGCCGGGGCCAGGGCGATGGATGGAATGGGTGGATTGATGCCTGCCGGCGGCAACCGCCCACAGCGCCGTCCCTTTCCCCCCACTATTAAACTCGCTCCGCCGTCACTGTCGCTGTCCCTCCCTCCACCGCTCCGGCGGGTCCCCTCCGCCCCGCGACTCATAATTTCCACCTCCTCCCGTTGCGCGCGCGCGCGCGTGGCGTCTGGCGTCAGGCCTCGCTCATCGCCTTGCGTGCGCCTGCTGCGCTGCGTGCTCCCCGCTAGAGTGGGTGTAGACGAGTGGTTAGAGAGACCGACCGGCCGGGGCCGATCAAGACTAGCTGCAATCACTCGTCGGCCGGGCCGATCGATCGGCGAGCGGCCGGCACGGCTGATTTTTGGTCGATATATATTGCCCCAGATACTAACCCTCTTATCCTTTCCTCTCGCCTCCCCCACTTGCACCCGCGACCGCGAGCAGCAGCGAGCGACGCCTCCTTTTCTTAAATTTCCCAGAGGTAGGAAGCAGCCACTGAGCTCGCTCGTGCTCGTGCTACGGTGCTAGCTACCTACGCACATATCTAGCAGCTACTACCTAGCCCTAGCGACCGAGCAGCAGCCCAGCAGGCAGGCTCAGTCAGGGGTACCACAAAGATATGCGGAGGCAGCAGCCGAGGCCGGGGCAGCAGCGGTAGACGACGAGGTACACGGACGCGGTCATCGGCCATGAGCGGCGGCAGCAGCAGGCACGAGAACGGCCACGGCGGCGCCGCGGCTGCCGCGGCGGCGGCTGCGGCAGCGGCAGGTGGAGGTGGAGGTGGAGGTGGAGGCAGCGACGCGCACGAGGACGACCTGGTGATGCCGGGGTTCCGGTTCCACCCCACGGAGGAGGAGCTCATCGAGTTCTACCTCCGCCGGAAGGTGGAGGGCAAGCGCTTCTACGTCGAGCTCATCACCTTCCTCGACCTCTACCGCTACGACCCATGGGAGCTCCCTGGTCCGTCTCGTCTCGTCCCTGTCTGATGCGGATAGCTTACACTCGCGACACCAATTACTCGCGCTCGCTCGATCTTCTCTCCCTTCCGATCTCTCCCCGACCAGAATTAACTAACCTTATGCTAGAAATCGATCAAGGGAAACAAATTAATCAAGGCTGATGGATGTGCAGCAATGGCCGCGATTGGGGAGAAGGAGTGGTTCTTCTACGTGCCGAGGGACCGCAAGTACCGGAACGGGGACAGGCCCAACCGGGTGACGGCGTCGGGCTACTGGAAGGCCACGGGCGCCGACCGCACCATCAAGGCCGACAACAGCAGCCGCCCCATCGGGCTCAAGAAGACGCTCGTCTTCTACTCCGGCAAGGCGCCCAAGGGCGTCCGCAGCAGCTGGATCATGAACGAGTACCGACTCCCGCCCGACCACACCGACCGCTACCACAAGGTATGCTCATCCCGTGCACCATGGCCTTCGATTGGCCCCGTGAAACCAGCTAATTTCCCACCGAATCGATGGGTCGTCAGGAGCTAGGGTTTGGGTTTACATACTTTGGTCCTTTGGGGTGGGTTAGTTTTTGAGGGGTTTTAATTTTGGTCTATCCAATTTTTGCTCCCAGCTTTGGTTTTCCCTTGAATGGCGCAAGTGCCTCCTTCTCTGAGAAACTACTAGTACTAGATATAAATTAGGGTTTGTTCATCTTCTCTCGCCGGCATATATATCTTTGCTGTTCCTTCCATGAACCCATGAGCAATGACGATGTTCATATATTTGACCTCACAACACATACCTAGAAACGCACCCTATTTGATCGATTATACTCACCTCTAGATGCTATCATGCAAGAGAGTTTGTGACCCTAGAATTCTAGATTCCATAATCCTAGATGTAATCACTGAGATCTTGACTAAATTTTGGGGGCAAGCCATCATCTCGTAGCATCTCCTTTTCTGCATTTCCGATTCGAGCCTGGCTATCTAGCTGGTTCCTAGCCAGCTACTGCAGTTCCTCTAATTAACTTGTTGTGCTCGCACTTGTTCTGTCGTTATTGTTTCCAGCTTAGTCGCTCAGCATTAGCATGATGGCATCTCGATCTTCATGCGTGCCCATGACGAATTTGCATTCCTGCAGACCGAAATATCCCTGTGCCGCGTGTACAAGCGCACCGGGATCGACGACGGCCATGGGCATCACGTTCACGCCTCGGCGCGCTCGACGCCCTCCCGCGGCGGCGCCATGGCGGCGCAGCAGCAAGATAACAAGCAGGCGTCGTCGTCGTCGACGCCGACGCCGCCCACGACCCCGTCCAAGATGATGCACCTTCTCCACGGCGAGTGCACGTCGCCGCCCGCGGCCATCTGCAGGAACAACAATCACGCCGCGGCGGCACACAGCGATAGCAAGGCGGCGGCAGCGCCACGGCAGCAGCTCCCCACGAAGCCGTACTGCAACCGCTACCAACAGATGTCCACGGCGAGCTCTGCCGCCGGCGCGGCGGCCGGCGATCAGCAGCAGGCTGGAATGGGAACCGCGGCAGTGTCGTCGTCGTCGTCGTACGAGCAGTCGTCGTCCAGGAACGCGAACGACTACGCGTTCGCCGCGTCCACGTACTCGCTGCTCAGCCTGGTGAACGCGGCCTCCATGGGCGGGTCCGGGTCCGCCGCGGCCATCGACGAGCTCAGCACGCTGGTCGGGCACGTGCACGGCCCGCCGGCGTATTTCAGCCACCAGGCCGGCGGCGGCGGTCACGGCCACAGCTTCCTCCCCGGCCTGCCGACGCCGTCGTCGCAGCAGCCGCCAATGGCGCTCGGGACGCTACCCATGTCCCTGGCCGCCATATCTGACAAGATGATCTGGGACTGGAACCCGATCCCCGACGCGGCGGCTAGAGATTATGGCAGCGCCGGCGGATTCAAGTGACGGCGCTCATGAGCGGCCGGCCGCATGCATTACGATCCTAAATGGTACAGCTACTACAGCCCATGTAGATCTTATTTCTCTCTCTCCCTCTCTCTCCCGGTTAATTTGTTCACGGTAAATTCTGAGGAAACAATCAGTGTAGACAACTATACCCCATTAATCAGGCCCTAGATCATACCAACTTGTACTAGTAGTATGATCAAGAGTTCAGGATAGTAGTACGTAGTATAAGCTGTATGTAATTCATACTGAATTGCATATAATGACATTGTCTTTACTTTGATCGATGTCGTAATGTGACAGTTGATTACTAGTTTTTTTTACGTTGAAGACAGTTGATTACTAGTACTTTCAGTAGTACTCCGTTCAGTATTTTACTCCTGCTGTCAGTGAGTCAGTCTAGTAGTACTCGATCCATGAACCATCAGGATTCGAGAGTTCAGACTATCTCCAACAACAACAACTAAAATACAAGACTCATTCAACGTTTGGGTAGCGCTACAGTCAGAAGGTCCAATACTCACTCGACATCCTCTCCAACAACAGGATCCAAAAGAGAATGTTTTCGAGCAAATGGGTTCTTTTTTAATAAGGAGAGATGAAATAATGCCATATGGTTGCATGATTGGGGAAGACCGTGGCAGAGATTGCCTCCTCTCGGAATGATTGCGAGAGGAGCTGCATGTTGGGTCGGTTCGTCCAGTGTGCGTGCATCCCTCTCTCTGGTGGTCTCTCTCCTGTGTCAGAGAGGTGATATCTATACGAGTTTGTTGAAAGCTAATTTTGGATCTCTTGCTACCCATTTTAAATTTAGATGTCCATATGGATCAACTGTTGGAGACGGTCTCAGGGCATGGTAATGCACAGGAATGTGGTACACCGTACTAGTAGTTGCGAATGTTTGTCGAGTCAAAAGTACGTAGTTCTTTTTTAATAAGGCCTTGTTTAGATTGCCTCTAAATTTTAAATTTTTTCACTCTCTCCATCACATCAATTTTTGAACGCATGCATGGAGCATTAAATGTAGGTAAAAAAAAACTAATTACATAGTTTGGTTGTAAATCACGAGACGGATCTTTTGAGCCTAGTTAGTCTATGATCGGACAAAGTTTGTCAAATATAAACGAAACGTGCTACAGTGTCCAGGTTGCAAAAATTTGCAATCTAAATGAGGCCTAACTGTCTCTGACTTTGGACACTGCACTGCACATGAAATAATGCCGGATGGTTGCATGATTGGGAGAAGACCGTGGCAGAGATTGCCTCCTCTCGGAATGATTGCGAGAGGACCTGCTGGGGCTGCATGCTGGGTCGGTTCGTCTCGAGTGTGCGTGCATCCCTCTCTCTGGTGGTCTCTGTAGACGCAGGACTGTGTCAGAGAGAGGTGAGGATCTATCGAACGAGTTTGGGGACAATCATGTGATAGCAGGGTTTGTCTTTTTGCTCTGCCTCTGTGTTCTGTCAGGGTAGGACTAGCCACCGATCGAATTACAACTGTAGAAAAATGATTATTCCTCTTAGTTTGTCTGCTCGTGCTGGCTGTACGTAACTTGTCTTGTGTGTCATGGGCTGAGCTAGTGATGATCAGCCATGGTTGGAGTTTGGCTGCTATACTGTGTGGACTCCCTGGTCTCTCTCTGAAGACAGGACGGCGTTTTTTGATGGACTGGACACGGCAGTCTACTTTGGTAGGGCTGAGCTAGCTAGTTGTCGATCTGTTTTATCTGGCACCTTTTGAATTATGTTCTTTGTTATTATGCCAGCTGTGAGATGACGTATTAGCATCAGATCAACTTAACCCAGTCAAAGAACAACTATTGGATGTAGTAAGCGCTTGCACGGGGGATTCTTTGGCATATCTTAGGTTTACCTAACCTGCAAAAGTTTATTAGTGTGACAATTCATCAAAGGAAAGAAGAGTAACATGACGGCATATTATAAGACCTGTGCAATCAAAAAGTAAATTGTTGCTCATACATTGGGCATAACAAATGTACTGACCAATGTGAATGGAATTGTGTATTGAATGACTGGCGGTTCTCAAACTGGGCATGGGGTAGCATCCTGATCCAGCAACTCATGGAAAATGGCACTTTTGAGTCCCTAAACTTGGCTCCGGCTATCATCCAAGCCCCCTAACTCAAGAAATGCCATTTTTGGACCTTGAAACTTGGCTCCGGGAGTCATCCGAGTCCAAACGGGTCTTCACCCCTGTACTAATGTGACAATGTAGCATGTACTATGTGTTGGCATGAATCGACATCAGAAACCCACATGTTAGATTCACCTCTCATCTATCCCTCTAGCGACGAATGAGGGTCACAGCTTTAGCTCCTACCATAGGGTGGGCAGGGGCATCAAGGGGAAGGAGAGCATGACAAGGAAGAAAAAGTGGGTCACCAACATGGTTTGTAGGCGACAACAATGAGAGTGGGTGGAAGATAAATAAGGAAGAGAAATGAGAGATGTGCTGATATGTGGGCCCCACATGATGGGCCTATGTCAAGCATGGCTAACATGCTATGTTCACAGGGAGTAGTTCAGACCTGTTGAACTCGGATAACACTCAGAGCGAAGTTTAGAGACCTAAAAATTGTATTTCCTAAGTTGGCGACTTGGATGACACCTAAAGCCAAGTCTAAGGACCCAAAATAACATTTTCAATATTTGGAACCAGGATGATACCCCTGCCAAGATTGACGACCCCTCATGAAGAATTTTATTCATAATTTTTGCTAGATTATACATATATAACACAAATTATTAAATACCAAAATGTCAACATAGAGTTGAATGAAACTTGAATCCACTTAACTTAATGTGAACTTGAATCCACTTAATGGTTTAATTTGTTTCCAGATGAGTGCATTGCACGATATGTGCTGATCCAAATTAATTAATGAGCTAAAATCCATCATATCTATTCAATCAAATGTAGTGTAGACACTCCATAGTCCCTGATGTAGAACCATATATACTAGTACCATATTGTGTATGCACATCTAGGTCCCAAAACATACATACTAATCGTTTTACATGAGATCAAAATCACCAAAAGTTGAGTTAATCTACCTGCGTAGCATGCTGATTGCACGATGACATGTCACCAAAATGCGGCGCCCACATGCCAACCTCATCTCTCTCTAGTACTAGCATCTGGGCGGTGGCCCCCACATGCTGGTGTCATGTCATCACAATTAGCATGCCACACAGGCAAATCCACTCAAGTTATGATGATTTAGAGCTCGTACGGTTAGTAAGTTTAGAGACCTAGATATGCATTTTGATTGTTTAGGGTCCTCTCTATGACACCTCAAACCAAAACCGACAGTGTATATTACTCTATTGTTTTCTTTTTTTAAGGTCTTTACTCTATTGTTTTCATCATACACTTTGAGTGATCAGTGCTGCATCATACTTTTTTTGAGGAGATACAACACACACACACACACATAAACATATTTGGAAAGATCTATAGTTATATAAACATGCAAATTCTAGATGGCAAACGTGATGCGAGACACAATATACAATATTACTGGGCTGTACAGAGATGCCATGTGATTGGTTCTGAAAAGCGGATCGACGAGTTAAGGAAGCAGCACTTATGTCTAACGTTGGTGGATGACATCATCATTAAGTGATTAACATATTTGTGCAGGGGAGCAGTCAGAGGAACAACATTACGACGTTTGTGGTAACTCTAGCAATCTCAAGATCCGATAACTTAGTTTTCTAGAGATATTTAGAGGTACATTCATAGGTGAACGTACATGCATGTACGTGTGTTTGGATTCGTAACGTGGTCAGGAGAAAAAAGAGATGTATCGTTCTTTTACAGAAGACATGAGTACGCGGACACGTACTACCACAAAGGCGCGGCGGACGGCGGACGGTGAGGCGAATAAAAGCTAGGGACGACATATACATATATATATACTACTAGTAGTAGGTATATGTGGGGTACTCCTAGCTAGTCCTAGCTAGCTAGCTAGTGTTAATTAATTTCAGAGTGTTTTTGCTTTCGTAGACAAAAATACCAGTGTTTCTGACAGAACGGTTACACGGGTGTGTGCTGTAGTTTGCACTCCACAGCGGCCGCTTAATTTGGGAGGAGGAGGAGGAGAGCGCACACAGTATATATGACAATGCATATATATGGTGCAATGTCCAATGCTAGGCCCGTGTTTAGTTGGCCGAATTTTGGAATTTGGGCTACTGTAGCACTTTCGTTTTTATTTGGCAATTAGTGTTCAATTATGGACTAATTAGGCTCAAAACGTTCGTCTCGCGATTTCCAACCAAACTGTGCAATTAGTTTTTTTTCGTCTACATTTAATGTTCCATGCACGTATCGGAAGATTCGATGTGATATACTGTAGCACTTTTTGGGATTTTTGGTTTGGAACTAAACACGGCCTAGTACTGCTCTCAGGTCTCATCAGCTAACATTTGGACATAAAACAAGCAACTAGTTGCCATGTATCATGGATGATCGGAACATAACCGTACATGCTTTACACACGCGCGCGTGCAGCGTGCTTACGCGCCCGTGCTAAAGATCCCTTTTGGTGAGAACGCGGTGATGATCCATCCATGGGCAGGGCAGCACGTACAGGGACGCAGGCGCGCCATGATGAGCCGAGCACCACAACCTCCGCGCAACTGAGATCGATCCTGATACACCGTTCTGATCCCCGGCAGCGGCAGGCGATCCATCGCTCGGCGGGCGGCCTCTCGATCTCGATCGCTTTTTGGCCCACGCTGGCCTGGCCATCTCATCTCTCACTCACGCCGTCACGCGCGCTACTATCTCTCCTGCACTGCACCACGCGCGCGCGTGTACATGGGTCGGCCCGGCCAGGCCGGCCGGATCGGATTCAGGCCAGCGGCTCTGATGATTACAGCTACGCGCAGGTTTAGGATGGAGAAAAGGGAGCTTTTTCAGGGTAATAAAGGGCACGCCTTTGCGCACGCGCGCGGTTACTGTCCCGCTCCCG